AGATTCTTGGCTCGGGTCTTCCTCTTACTCTCGTCACACCCTCAGGGAGGAGCTCCACTCAAGGGAATGGATTGGGATCGGCTACAAAATTGTTGCTATTTACTTGCTTAGCTAAATGAATTGTGGGGTTCAGTCCCTGAGCCCATTATGTGCCTCTGTAACCCTTTCCACTACCGCCCACGAGATGGGTATGGGGTGCATAATAAATGAACTAAACTAACTATTATCTACTCTCTATCCATGGTTAGATTAAGGTTACTTTAGGTTAAGTTTTGATTAGATTAGGTTTCATTGTTTGGTTATGTTAATACGATGTATTATTCACGATAATACATCGCAGTTTCCGTGGCTGATTAAGACGCTCGTCTGGGGTTTCGCGAGTGCTTTGTCCTGGGTTCGTATCCTGGCCGGGGATGTTTTACTGGGCGCAAATCCTTAACTGTAGCCTCTATTTAACTCGACAGTAAAATGGGTACTTGGTTGTTAAACGATTCTTCGCGCGGGTCGTATTCCATGGAACATAGGATTAAGGACTTACCCGAAACGCTACGCGTACTAGTGGCTGTACAAGAATGTAAAAACTCTTGTTTTTGTTTTTATTTATATATACAAATGTGAAATAATGCATTAAATATGGAATTCAAAAACTATTATAGTGTGCCCGCAAATTCTGTTTACAGAAAACCAAATTCTTCAAAGAAAACGTTTTCAGCATGAACTTTTTATATTATAAACCAACGATTTATATTACAATGAAGTTATAACTTGAGAATAATATATGTTTATGACAAAGTATCATTTGCCAGTTTACATGTAGACTATTACTGGAACCATAATATGCTTTTAAACTATCACAAATATCTAGATAACTACCCATGTGGTTTGAGAGTGGGTGTGGTTTCTCATGGTAATGGATTTGGTCTGAGGAGGGGCTCCACTAGCTATTACTCATATGCACAGCAAATGTGTACATCTGCTGTGTACACATCTGCTGTATACACCAGTAGATTGACAGTTGAGAGGCGAGACCAAAGAGCCGAAGCTAAACCCCCGCAAGCACAATTATATAAATGTTGAGTACATCGTCATTTCTTGTCGATCACCCGTCATTTTTTTTCATGTACTGTATATATGTTCCGAACCTTAATGGAATCTGACCCATATATCAATCAGGTCAACCCATGTGTTGCGTTTCCAAAAGGGTCGCCCATGTTAGAATCGGTGAACGCCCTAGTAATATTGTTGAAAACATCTTAATAACTTATTAAACCAAAGGTCTTTTTATGTCAGAAGAACGGCAGAAACTGGATCTATATATGAAAACTCTTTCAGGACAAAATTTAAAGTAAAACTAAAGATATTTGTAGTTGTATAAAAGTTGCATTTTTCATTGGTCGTAGAGCCGGAAATCCGCAATATTCATCTCAGAACAATGCTTATTTCACGCAGAATCGTTAATAAACGTAAGATTTTTATACGTCTCAAGAAAGATAGAAACATAATCTTCATTTTAAATGCCTTACCATGGGCATATTTGTATTTAAAGCGAAGATACGTGTATTTTTCTAATCGGCGAGCTCCGATCCCGCACAGATCGAGCAACGGAGTAACTCTCTCTCAGAACAATGCTTATTTCACGTAAATTCGTTAATAAACGCAAATGTTTTTATATGTGTTGAGAAAGATAGAAATATAAGCTTCATTTTAAATACTTTACCATAGATATATATAAAGTTCTAATGAAGATACATGTGTTTTAATAATCGCCGAGCTCCGACCCCGCACAGACTGATCGACAGAGCAACTCTCTCTCAGAACAATGCTTATTTCACGTAAATTCGTTAATAAACACATATGTTTTATATGTCTCAAGAAAGATAGAAATATAAGCTTCATTTTAAATACTTTAACATAGACATATATAAAGCTCAAGTGAAGATACATACGTTCTTATAGTGGCATTCAGTAGCTTGTCGGTCATGGAATGCAGAAGGGATACAAGACACTCCGTACATTGACAACATCGCACACTAATATTTTTACCACTTCGGACACCAGCTTTCGACGTTTCGCATATGTGTACGTGTTCCATATTAAAACGACAATATAATGTTATTAACAATTAAAATCTTATACTTAACACTTTAGTGCGCGCGGCACTTGCTGAAAATAAAGTGGGTTGTGCGCGCGGCGTTCTGGGCACTCAAGCGTAAACACAAAAAAGTGTATAATCTTTTCACGCTCCTAACATCAATTCTCAAGCTACGTTTTTCATTTTGGTATCAATGCGTTGGCAATAAAATTCTCTACAAGATCATATGCATAAAATGTCACTCAAGCATTTGCTATCCCACCACGAAGTAAATAAACACGAAGATGACTCGCTGTGACACCCAAACAGGAAGTAAATGTTCATACTCTTTCGTTTGTTGCCAGCCTCACAGTCATCCTACAGCGCTCATTTTGATATCACTGAACTCGCAATAAAATTCCCCACCCAGACATATGCCTATCAATGTCTAATTATGGTATCGGGTGACCCGCACGAGTGTGGGAACTGGGCAAAGCGTTAGCCGTGATTTCAGCAGGGACGACACTGTTGTGATGCAGCGCTTTGAATGTTTATACTTATTTCACTGTCATGACATTATTTCTCGAGCTACGTATTTCATTTTTATAGCAATGTGTTCGCAATAGAAAGTTCTATAAGAACATGGGTAGAGTTGGCCAACACAGCGTCAAATAAATTTGCGGCGAATAAAATCTTACGCGTGTTTGTACCCGTGAGCGTCAAAAGTTTTTACTTTGCTCATGTTTTTCAAGTTTATACTTGTTTCACACCGTTTTTTTCTTTTGTATAGTATTCGGAATAAAATTCCCTACACAGACATATGCATATCAAATACAATTCCTTGGAATTCACAGCTGTAGAGATGACGGAAAACACACAACCGGAACCCGCTCTTGACACTCCAACTCACACCCGCAACACCCACAAAAAAAGTTTCTCTTGTTTCGTGTATACTTACTTTAGTTTTCGTGCTACAGTTCTCATTTAGGTATCAAAATATTCCTAAGAAAATAGACTACAATACTGAAACAATCTAAGACAATTATGTGTACTTACCAAAGCAAAGACGATTGTAGTAAAATAAGTTGAGCATTTTATCTCCACTCCACCTCCTTCAGGTACTGATTCCTGAAGTTGCTCAACAGATGTTCCTAGGTGGAGTGAAGCTGGTGCGGGTGGTTATTTCTTGTCCACCCAATACACCCTTTTCCTGTGATAAGTGGTGTAACAAGGTATGACGCAAAGTGGAACATCGCATGTCTTGCACGCTATACCAGTTTCCTTCCTGATACCCGACTTTGAACACACTTCACACCTGCGACGTTTGGGGATTTTTACCAGCTCATGTTTCAATTTATAGTTCAGGCGAGTCTCTGCTATAACAACACGTCGCTGTTGTCTCTGGGTTGGCAATAAACTACTGTCTGAATCGTCGCTCTCACTATTGTTTTCAAACACTAATGTGGAATATGAATTATCTTCATCAGATTCAGCTTCAGCACTAGGTGTAGACGTGAAGAGAGGGCGCCTTACACCCGACGGGCCAGGTGTTGACGGGTCAGCAGCAGGATACACAGGACCAGTGTCATCATTTATGTCTGGAGCATGAACTAGATGTGGAGATGGTGTAGTTGTTGCAGGCCACTCTGCCTTGTCAAATTTCAATAAAGACCAAATAGCAACTTCATGGAACTGGAGCAGAGTTAGTTTCCTTCGATCATCTGTGTTGGCCTTGTACAATGCATAAGCGTTTTGCAATGCCATTTGCAAGAAATAAAATGTTATTTTCTTGGTCCACTTGTGACATTTCCTGGCGAAATGGTAATACTTTACCATTTGATCAAAGTGGTCAACACCCTTCATGAATTTATTGTAGTCAACAATTGCCTGTGGTTTGTTCACCACAACCTGCTGTAGTCTTACTGTTCCATCTGCCCTGCGAACTCGTTTTCTTTTCTGAACTTTCTTTGTGTCTGCATTGTGTAGGTTGGTAATCATATAGACAACTCGCTTGTCGCCCGCAACTCGCCCCCTCCTCCTCCTCCTCCTCAGTTTGGCTTTCAGTCTCATCCTCTGTTGAGTCATCCCAAAGGGGTCTACGGCCCCCAATTTCAAATTCTTCTTCTACATCCTCACCTTCTGCATCACTTCGTTCATTTTCAGCTTGATCAAAGGCATCCAAGACATTGGGAATCTTGGTGGGAGTGAGCCTCATACCAGCAAACCTCCTATAGATGGCGGTAATCCTGTCTTTTCCACTTGATTCTGAGGCTCCTGTAGCCGAAACACCGCTTGGGCCTGGTGCTGGATCCATTATTGATGAATTTAGTGGGTTATAAACACACACAAACGGGTCCATCCTTGAAAACGTGCGAGTTTGGCGGCCGAGGGGAGAGAGATCCGATCACGTAACGGATCACTGGGTCACGGCCTGTCACGAGACCCAGTAGGCCGACGTGACTTGCGGCCTACCCGAGAGAACGGGAATTTCATGGCGCGGAGTTTGAAACAAACCCCAAGTAAATCGGATTTAAACTGGATTTTTTACAAATATTTTAAACCGCACCGTAAATTTACGTCGTGATCCGACAAGAGGTTAGGGAAAACGCCCGTAATTCCAAGTCGAAAATCCAGAAAAGTGTTAACAGGCATATAGTTATTAAATGAAATTTAGTGATGTAATAGACATAATCCGGAGTTGGTAAGGACGCCGCCCGCCAGCGTAAACACAACACACCCGAATGCCCACAAACACGATACAACGCACAAAACACAACACTTCTGTCAGTTTTTGGATAAACTCCTTTTATATTTATTATGTGAGAGTTATACTTGTATAAAATGATAACTATTATAGGTAAGCGCCTATTATTTAATATTAATCAATAAAAAAGAAGTCAGAAGCCACACGCCTGTCTGTACATGTCTTTTGTGTAAAAGTATTTTGGGCAGGGTGGCAGTGTGGATGGCACTGACAGGCCGCCGACGGTAACTAACCTCTACACTCTTTTCTCCCTCGCTCTGTACGTCTGTCTCCTGTCTACCTACACCAGAATTCGTTAACATGGCAGCTTTTGAAGGTAATTTGGGGCTCGGTGCCAAGGGGCGGTCCGTCTAATTACCACAAGCTACCACAAACTACACAAACTTCAGAAAGCTTCCTGGCAATACGTTAGTAATGAATAAATATGATATATTTACTCATTATAATGTTGGTGCTGAATGTACAACACGAAAAAACATAATTTTAATCTGAAAAAGTATCTTTTTATAAAGAAATTAGACGAAAATAAAAAGCTGGTGACGTCAAATCAAGTCGACGATCCAAGCTTCGGTTAGGTTAGGTTAGGTTAGGTTAGGATAGGATAGGTTAGGTTAGGTTAGGTCAGGTCAGCCTAACTTAATATATCATATTTATTCATTACTAACGTATTGCCAGGAAGCTTTCTGAAATTTGTGTAGTTTGTGGTAGCTTGTGGTAATTAGACGGACCCCCAAGGGGCAGTTTTAAAGAAAGGGGTGGGGGGATTTCTAGATTTTTAACGGGCATTGGACCGGCTTGATGGAATAACATTACTAGGGACGTGTGGTTGTATGTGTGGTATAGCGTGTGGTTGTATGTGTGGTGTAGCGTGTGGTTGTATGTGTGGTATGGCTGGTGTGTGGTATGGCTGGATTTTAAATTGCAATACTGTACTAGCAATATTTTGGAATTTAGGGCTTTGGCAGGTCGGCAGTGCCATGGGCTTATAACCCTATGGGTGAAAAGTGAATTCTGTTTTCTGACTTACATTGGGGCTTGTTGAGCTTGAATGCAGTATATGTGAAATTATCATGGAGAGACACCAGTCTCCGTGGTGTAGTGGTAAGACTACACCTGTAGTGGCCTGGCATTCCGCGAGCGCTTTGTCATGGGTTCGTATCCTGGCCGGGGAGGATTTACTGGGCACAAATCCTTAACTGTAGCCTCTGTTTAACACAACAGTAAAATGTGTACTTGGTTGTAAAAACGATTCTTTGTGGGGATCGTATTCCAGGGACCTGCCCGAAACACTACGCGTACTAGTGACTGTACAAGAATGTAACAACTCTTGTATATTTCTCAAAAAAAAAAAAAATATGGAAAAGCTGATGGAGCAAAGAATCCCAGAGTATGTACCGAGGTGGGTTTGGGCGTGTTGAATGAATGGATAATAGTAGCAAGTAAAAAAATAAATACAGTAGTAGATAATAGATAAGCAAGTGTGTGTTGGTGTGAATTTGAGGTCTTGAGATGTTGGGATATCTTGAGGTCATCTTGAGATGATTTCGGGGCTTATCATCCCCGCGGCCTGGTCCTCGACCAGGCCTCCTTTTTGTTACACACCCCCAGGAAGCAGCCCGTAGCAGCTGTCTAACTCCCAGGTACCTATTTACTGCTAGGTAACAGGGGCATCAGGGTGAAAGAAACATTTTTCCCATTTGTGTCCATCTCCACTGGGGATAGAACCCGGAGCCTGAGGACTACGAATCGGAAGCACTGTCCACCCAGCTGTCAGGCGCCCTGACAGGATAGGAGAATAGGACCAAGATGATAGTGGGGCAAACTTAGTGAGGAAGCAGGAAATGAGTGTGAACAGCAAATGGGTTATGGAAATAGTGGCTGGGTGGAAGCAGTTTGTAAGGATGGAGTGCATGTACAGTATTTGATTATGGTGGACAATTCATGAGATAGCACTGTATACAGGTCTTAAAAAGCAGTTGATACTGCTTAGAGTGAGAGATGAGTGCATGTCTTTTTTTATATTTACATAGTTTGAATGATGCAATGAATGGAATATTGTAGTGGTTTTATTTTTTTTATACCTATAACCTGCTAGAACAATACAATAGTTTTGCATTTTTTCTTCTGGGCTAATGCTGCCCCCTCCTCATAAGTCTAAAACAAGATAATTAAAAGTTTTGTTACTAACCAATTACTTTGGCTTATGAAATTTATATAATATTCATTTTTCAGAAATGGGTGTACTCCCAGAAATAGCTAAGGCTGTAGAAGAGATGGATTGGACGTAAGTTTGCTGATTCTCTTGTACATTATGTAACGCTGTACTCAATAAAGTGTTTCAAATACTGTACTGGAGTAAATATAGTTGGTAAATAATAATTGAAATGGACTAGTAGTTTTATTTGCTCTTCATTGGGTATGGTATGATATGATTATGCACTGTATATTCCCTGTAAATACTATAGAGAGATTTAAAGTAAATTGTATTGCATGGAAAACTAGTATGGTTGCAATATTAACTTTTTTTTAATGTTTTCATTTGTGAATACTTGCCCTAAACATACTTGTATTATACATACTTGTCTAAGAAATGAGCCCATGTACTGTGCAGCTGTTTAATATGATAACTTCATGGTGCACAACAAAAATTATACCCAATTTTTTTTAATGTTGTTAAAATTGCCTCCCTGATCATGTAAATGGAAAAATCATCAACAAAATGACAACATTGTGACAAAATCTAATTTGTCACAATGTCATCACAAGATGTTGAGCACATGTGCAGGAGTGACTCGAAGCTGATCTCTTGGGTGATTCAAGACCCGCGAGTTGCCACAGATACTTTTCTTGTGATTTTTATCGAATAATACTATTATTTATGTTTTCGTGTACACAGTAGAACATGTGTAATGTTTTAATAATGATAATAAGTGTCACTAATGTGTCCACAAAAAAGTGGTCAATATTACATGTTAAATTTTCACTAATATTTACTGTCTCACATACTCTGAAATAATGTGAGACAATGTACAATGTACTTACACCATAATACTCTCTCAGTACTTCATGAGTAAATTCATTGAAGCACTCAATACAGTAGTACACATGGTAACTTTTGCATTCTGTGCACCAGGTACATGCTGACTTTCACTAATCGTCTTTTTGCATGCTTGTAAACATGGTACTTGGGTATAAATTTTGCAAGTCTTCCTGTACCCGCTATGTAACCAAACTTGTGTAGTGTACAGTAGTCTATGCAGCTCAATCTGTCGGTAGCAATGTGTACATCTTCTGGCACAAAACTTGGAGAAGTTTAATACTGGAGTTCCCACTTGTGCAACTTTCAATGATCAGTGGGCTCTGACTCTGTCATTTTCTTCATCAATCTGCTGCAAAATAATGTTGATTTTGTAGTTGTGATGTGCATTATGCCTCGCATAAAAGTCTTGCATTTTTCAATATTAAAAAGTATTTGACAGTCTTCCAACCACTTTTGGATTTCATTTAATCTTTTTCTTTTCTCCATTTAATTCAATTATAATTTTTACTTCCCACTTCACCATAGATCTTGGTCATGTGCAAATTTGATAATGTGGTTTGTAATACTGTATTCTCATTTGTCATAGATGTATTTGACAAAAAGGGTTGGCCCCAATATGTAACCCTGCAGTACAGTGTACTCAAGATTTCTCCAGTTGAAATCATTTCTATTAAGGATGACCCTTAACTGTGTTTTAACCAATGTTTTATTCGTCCTAGTATAGTATTCTACTATTTATTGCATGTGCTTGTAATTTCCTCGCCAGTCTGTCATGTGGTACTTTATTCTGCTCATTACTTCGCTAATTTCTGAGCAGGAGGTTTCTGGTAGATCAACCGCATCTTCACTGAACTGAATGATTTTTGGTCTGATTCGCTTTTCGTCATAATTCAAGCCGAATTATAAGTTTTTGGATTTTAAATGTTTGCAAATTTTTAAGGGTAAATTATAGACTCTTCAGGTATATCTAGAACTAACACAAACATTTAATTACATTCATTAATTAATTAGTAATTTTAGAAATCATTAAGTATAAAAGATTGTAATCATCTAGGTGGACACAGGAAATGTTAGCCCAAAGCTTGCAAAATAGTAAACTCATTATCTATTGTAACATTCATTCTTAGGTTGCCAACGGATGTCCAGAATGAGGCAGTCCCACTTATTTTGGGAGGTGGGGATGTGCTCATGGCAGCTGAAACAGGCAGTGGCAAGACTGGTGCTTTCTGTCTTCCCATCCTACAAATTGTCTGGGAATCACTTAAGGATATTCAGCTTGGCAAGACTTCAAAAGTTACTAAAGAAATATGCAAGTGTCCATTGCTCTTTTGTGCCTGTTTATTGCAGTACTGTACTTGATATCTGAAAATTATTATTATAAATGCTTTTAGTATATATAAATATAAATATGCATATACTAGTACTGTACATAAATTTTAATATAAATAGTATTAATATAAATAGTATTATTATAAATGTTGTTACTCTAATATTATACTGTTATTATTCTTTTCTTTTTTCTTTTTGCAAAATAGCTCCTCTCTGGTTGATGAGCTTCTTTGACCGTGACGCAGGAATGGCTGTGACACCTGATGGCTTGCGGTGCCAGTCACGGGATCCTAAAACATGGCAGGGTGCCCGTTGCACCAAGGGTGTCACTGGCAAGGGAAAATATTACTATGAAGCCGTTGTGTCGGATGAAGGGTTGTGTCGTGTCGGGTGGGCAACTCCTCAGGTAGGCAGTATTGCTGGCACCTTTGTTCCTCCAATTTCTTTTAGCTGCTGCTGAACATTTTATAGTTCAGTAGAAATGGTAATACTGTGCTATACTGTATTCCCAGTGTGAATACCTAGTTATGACTTTTACTGGATTATATTATATATTTTTAAATGGTTTCTGTTCCATATCCAACCCATCCTGTTTAGATAGTAGTTTTTGTGACTGTGCACCATAGTACAAATTTTTGCTGTAAGGCATTGACATAATAAGCAATTAGATAGTAGAACTTTGTACTATTCACTTTATAGATAAAAAATTTAGCTAAAAAGCAAACTTAAATATTCCTAGGCCTAGTATAATGAGCATATATACTATATTATGCCTTGAATAGCGGATTTGTCCTAGGAAGGTTAGGTTAGGATAGTTTGTCTTTGCAGCACAAGTAGAAAATGGTGTTCGGTTTGTGAAAATTCAATAGTATTTATCATAAATACTATTAGAAAATAGAAAACATATCAATTTCTACTTTCTAATTGTGTTGTACATCGGTATATAAGAATGAAGGTAACTGCAGAAAGCCTATTGGCCCATATGTACATGTATAATCACTAGTACTATTAAAACAGGTGAATGGGCTGAATATCTTATTAATGCCATTACCTATCAACTTGATATTACACAAGTTACTATGGTGTAAAGAGTTTAAATTTAAATGGGGCAGTGTAGTTCTCTAGCGACTTCTTGGATCAAATCTTGTGCATATCTTCCCCAAAACATAACCTAAGGGCCAGTTTTCTGCATTAATCTTTCAAAATGGTATTCATAGAATTGCTTCAGAACTGGTACTATGGTAGGTATGATTTTGTAGTGAAGTTTTCACTAGTAGTCATATCATAATCAACCTTATTTGCTTATATACAACTCCTTTTGTTCTAGAGATTGCATTTTTTCATGTGTATTTTCATCTTCATGTAATAATAATAATAACAATAATAATACAGTAAGCCCTTGCTTTACATAAGCAAATTTCATGAAAACAAGTTTAAGATTGTAAACTGTTATAATAGCTGCAAGCCTCTCCATACAAAACTCCCAGGGAGCATTTGCCCCAAACTCTCCATATTAACCAACAAATTCAATCCTTGAAATCAACACAACTGCCAGGAAAGTCGGCACCATATTTGAATGCATCAACTAGCACATCCATTGATGATGTACAAATATTTGATGAAGTCAGACGAATCGAGGCATAGTTGAGGGAAATGCAGCTGCACTGCATATCAGAAAATGACTTGTAATTACGAAGCAATAAGATGCTTATCTTAACATACTAAGAAGGTTAGGTAAGGTCGGTGTTTTCTATGAAGCTTTTCAAGGTAAACTAAAATATTCACAATAAATTAGTATGTCACATATGCACGTATTTAATAAGTCAATATTGACTTTAAGGAAGTGTGAGAACGGGTTGGAAAATGACTTGATTTTGGTCTATTGAATATCATTTATTAAACATGGTTACATGCCAAAGAGAACACTGGTAAAGTTAAACCCAACTGTTTGACACCTCCATCCTGGAAACAGCCATTGTTTCCAAAATGGTAATGAAAGTGAGTAAATATTTTATTTTTATTTTTTTGAAGGGGGGGGTGGAAGGAACAGGTATTGAAGTCCATTTGGAAAAGATAATTATGCAAGAATTTAATGCAGAAAGTTGGTAAAACAAATTAAAACATTAATTTGTGCTGAGTAAACCATTACTTGCGTATTTGTAATAAAGTACCTACCTCATGTTAGGCGAATTTAATGCTTTCAAAACTTCAAGAAGCAAAGGCTTGCTGTAGTTTGTACTGTATTTTCACCTGCATTGGGAGATGATATATTTTATCAATTGCCTTTATGCAATAATATTTTTTATATTCACAACCAAAACAACTTATATTTTCAGGCAGCATTAGATCTTGGAACATGTAAATCGGGATTTGGATTTGGAGGCACTGGAAAAAAGTCTAATTGTAAGCAGTTTGACGATTATGGTGAATCTTTTGGCCTCAGGGATGTCATTGGTTGCTATCTCAACCTGGATGCCATGGAGATGCATTACAGCAAAAATGGCACTGATTTAGGTAAAGCTTTCACATTACGAAGTGAATTCAAGAATGCTGTCTTCCATCCAGCTGTAGTTTTGAAGGTTGGTAGTATAGTACATGCATTATTCATGTTAGTTGTGTATTTTAAGCAGTGGTGGATAATTGGATGATGATATTAATTAATTATAGATATGGTCTAAGGCAGACTGAAATTTGCCCAGTTTTTTCTTTTTGTTGGTTTGTTATGCATTTGTCACAGTATTTGGACTTGGTGTATTTCAAAAGTGTATAGTGGTCATGTATATATACAGTGACACCTCCAAAATTTGGATCATATTTATGATCTAGGTCATTAAGAAAATTAATACAAATAAGTAAATTTCTTATTGAATTTTCTATCAGTTTTTAACTGTTGGTTCTTTACTCAAATCTCTCTAATTTCAATAAAGTGCAAGAATAACTTCAGTGAATTTAATGATATTTGAAAGTTACAGATGATAGCAATTTACGTGATTTCCAGAATGCAGAGATGTCTTTCAATTTTGGTGCAACAGAGTTCAAGCACCCACCTAAAGCGGGATACGTAGCAGTGTCTCAGGCCAGCAAGGACTGTACTGTGAGCTCAGGTGTGAAGGGAGGTGGAGACAAGCCACAAAAGCTTCAGAACAATGCTCCACACGCTGTCATTATTGAGGTAAGAATGGTAACACGTGACTGGTCTGTATTTACTTGTCCAGTATCTGGTTTATATTGATTGCTGGATGGATGTCTAACAATATAACCTATACAGTTCGGTACAGATTCATTTTTACATCACTGTTGCTTTTAAACTAACCTGTTCATTAAATCCTGGATACATACAATATGAAAATTCAAACTAAAAGTAGTATGTTGTGCTATGTGAATTGTTAAACAGTTTAGATAGAAGTGGCAAGTTCCAAAAGCAGACCATTTTTTTTTTAATGCAAACAAAAGTTTTTATCATTTAACAGCCTTCAAGAGAACTCGCAGAACAGACCCTAAAACAGGTTCAAATGTTTCGTAAGCATCTAGATAATCCAGTGGTTCGTGACCTTCTTGTTGTTGGTGGTATACCCGTGAAGGAGCAAATAGCAGCACTCAATGCAGGTGTGGATATTGTTTGTGGTACTCCAGGATGCTTGGAAGATCTTATTAATACAGGATAACTCTCTCTCCAGTCTTGCAAATTCTTTGTGTTGGATGAGGCTGATGGACTTCTTAAACAGGTAAGTTTGATTTTATCCAAGGAAAAGTACTTTTTATATTTTGGTAGTAAATATGTAGGAATACCTGATATAAATTCAAGTACTGTATCATGAGCTTGCCTTATGAATTAGAAAAAAAACTAAGAACTCTTGACTACCTGATTTCTTGTAATAAGTCAACTACTCGTGGAACATTTACACATTTCCTTAATGTGCATCTTTGGCTATCAGTAAATGGGCACTTGAGAGTTGGGGAACTTTTATAGATTTCATCCTGGAAAGGTTGGTCATATTTTTTAAATGACTTTAAATATACAGCTGATTTATTTATAAGGTAACTTGATGCATTACTGTATTTTGTTGACTTTCATTTATTGCATTAAATTTCTTGCCATATTTTGTTTCATGTAATTACTTTATCTTGTATACAAGTGTACTGGTATTGCAGGGGCATGAGCGTCTCATCAATAACATCTACAACTCCATACCCAAAATCACATCTGAAGGCAAGAGACTCCAGATGGTGGTCTGTTCTGCCACCCTACATTCCTTTGAAGTGAAGCGCATGGCAGTAAGTTTCTGAACCCTTATTTGGTAACACTTGTTTGCTAAGGAAAATTGTGCCTTCTCAACGGTGCAATGTCTTAAGACTAAGGATTATGAATTATCTTAGATTATGGTATACTATATAATAATCAAGTGAAAATTAACAAAGTGAAGCATGACTAGTGTGTTCCAAGCATATATGGAGTGGAAAGAATGTTGTCTAATGTATCAATTAGTTTCCATAAAGAATATTTTGTACAAGGGTTAAATTTTATTAATGGTTAGGTATACATATTTTATATATATAATATGACATTGTGTCTTTAATACTTCAAAGTTACTTAATGCTCTCTTTTTCAATGTGGAAATACTGTAGATTGAATCATAAGTGCATGTTAGGAATTTGTGTATCAGACTTTATGAATGTAATTGCAGAAGTGGTGAAGGTGAGAGATTCAGTAGTTTAAAGCTTTACTATTCATGTTGGAAGGCTGCTGAAAATGTGTTACCTGAAAGAAATAGAAGAAAAGATAATATCATAGTAAATATAGTACAATATTTAGTATGTTGCTTTTACTATAGGCACGGTTTACATTCCACCAGTCAATTTCCTTCCCTCAGTTCTGTCTTTGCTCAATCTTATTTCCATGAAACTTTTTTCCAATTACACGCATCAAATATTTAAACGACAGATTCTAGTACTGTACTTCCTACATCACACACTCGTCATCCTTTCTACTACAGTTTGCTTCAGTTTACTCATTTTCAAGTCTTCTACTATCCACAGTAAAGCTTTCAGCTGCACAATATCTCAGCCCTCGCACACTGCTACAACTCCATATGTTTCACCCAAGTACTCACCTAATTGTACTCACCTAATTGTGCTTGTGGGGGTTGAGCTTTGGCTCTTTGGTCCCGCCTCTCAACTGTCAATCAACTGGTGTACAGATTCCTGAGCCTACTGGGCTCTATCATATCTACATTTCATATGTGTACGTCAACGTATACATACATGCGTATATATACCTCATATTAAAATACTGATAAACGAATGACCATGAACAAATTAATTTATAATTGTAGCATTATATATAATTTTAATAGACTAATTATGTGTTTATACATTTGAATGGTCCAGACAGGTGGCCAGCCTTGGACATGTACACTTCTGGTAGGCACAATGACCTCATGTTAGACCCTTGATAGATTATGTGAGAGAGAGAGAGAGAGCTGGGGCAGGGAGGTGCGTGCCCCAGGGAGATAATCCATGCCCATGCCCCGCCTCGAGGTCAGTTCTCGAGTCACACCAAGAATAACAATCGAGCAAGTTGTCCTGACCAGGATGTGGCATATTAGGGAGGGTTGAGGAATAGGAAGCCTGTCTGATAGGGCTCTTGGCAAGCAGCTCTCCCTCAGTCTACCTATCTATATGGAAGAAATGTATCTAGGCCCTCCTCCCCCCTGCCTATTCTCTCTCCCCCACCTTCCTTCATTTCCTCCCTCCTTCCCTCCCCCTCACTGGTGAGAGAGTAGGAGTGTGAGAGTGGTTAGAGAACTCGTAGTTCTCACGCTCGTGAAATTGTCTGCGACCCTGGAGGAGTAGAGCGGAGGGGGGGGTGAAAGTAGGTGACGATGGAGGAGTAGTGGGGAGCATTATATGCAGTGAACGTAGGTGTCTATGGAAGAGTACATCATAGAGGAGGGTGAAAGGAAGGTGACGATGGAGGAGGAGAAGGGAGGGGGTGTGAAGGTAGGTGATGATGGAGGAGTAGAGGGGAGGAGGGGGGCAAAGGTAGGTGTCTATGGAAGAGTACATCATAGAGGGGGGTGAAGGTAGGTGGCAATGGAGTAGAGCAAAAGGGGTGGGGGTTGAAAGTAATCCTGAGTTGAATTTTTTAGTTATATATAGTGACACCTCGGCTTACGAATGAATATTTATGAACTTTTCGGGTTACGAGCCTAATTTCTTCGAAAAATTTGAATTGGGTTACAAACTTTGCCTCGGGAAAGGAGTTTGTTGATATACGTATGGGCTGACCTAGCGCGTGGTGGCATGGTGATCGCGCCTCAGTTTACCAGTGTCTCCTGCCTAGTAAGTATCGCGCCTGAATTCTTTGTAAAGCATTACATTTGTTTTGGGATTTTTGGCTATTTGAACATAAAATTTGTTATGATATATCTTGCCATGAGTCCCAAGAAAGCCAGTGGTAAGGTTCAAGCCAAGAAAACACATGTGAGAATGACCATAGAGGAAAAACAAGAGAGCATTCATAAACATCAAAATGGTGCACAGGTTGTTGAACTAGCTAGGCAGTACAACAAATCTATGTCAACAATATGCACTATACTTGCTAAGAAAAAGGACATTATGAGCGTTAAAGTGGCAAAAGGCATATCAATAATCTCGAAACAAAGAACACAAACACTTGAGGATGTTAAAAAGTTTTTATTAATTTGGATACACAACAAGGAGTTAGCAGGTGATAGCATTTCAGAGGCCATCATTTGTGAGAAACCAAGGCATTTGCATGAAGACCTTTTAAAGAAAACCCCTGGAACGAGGGGGGGGGAGGAAAAGATGAATCAAGTTTGAAAATGTGAAAAGTTTGTGTGACAATAGAGCCTCGTGGAAAACTTTTGCTGTGGTCATTACCTGGTGGAATGCACCCAGGATGGAGTATTAGGGCTATACATCTTTTAAATCATAAAAGTAATAAACATTTCCCATCAACCTTACAAACAATATTAACCTATTTTCATGTATTTCCCCCATGTGCATTTTAACAAAGTTGCTAAATTGCCTTTATCATTCTGTAAAATTTCAATTACAGTACTGTATGTATAATTTTGTTAGTATAAATGGACTGAATATTCTGAAATTGCTATTAATTTTACAATTTCAGATTCAAAGGTGGTCTGGACACCCAATTTGGTCAGACAGGTGAAGAGAGCATTTAGGATAGTTCGAAGAGATGAAGATGGTCGCAATTGTGTTCGAAGAGGCAAACGCCCCCCTTTGCTCCTGACATTATGTTCAACCATTGACCTCTGCACACCTAACACAAGGTAGGTTGAAAACTCCTCCTTCATGTCATTGGTACATTAGCCAGAAACTCAGGGCTCATGTAGGAATATCCCTAAAAAAAAAAAAAAAAAGTGGCCCCAACAATGCATCCTCCAAGTCTGGAGGATGAGCAGGAGCATTGTCGAGAAGCAGGACCTTGAGTGTCAAACTTTTCTCTTGCAGATATTTTTTGATGGCAGGGCAAACCACTCCACATCACAGTTTTTCTGCACGTTATATATTTTTTAAAACTCTTGGATTTTCGGAATGATACACGAGCAAGGGTTTAATTTTCAAATCACCACACAGCACAAGAGTTAGCCTATCCTGACACAAGTTAGCCCAAGTTAGCTTGTGTCCGGGCAGTGACGTCTCCTCTTGGGTAATGTATGTCCTCTTCGGCAATTTTTTCCAGAATAGCCATGTCTCCTCACAATTAAACACTTGTTGTGGAATATATCCATCAATACAGTATCTACAAAATCTTTAAAATCACGAACAAATCTTTCAGCCCCTACTTTGTCTGAGCTGGCCCCCTCACCATGCCTCACAACACTATGAATACAACGTCTTTTTTCAAAATTTCTCAAACCATCCCCTACTCACCTTAAACTCTTTCGTATCTGCAAAACTCGTTCTAGGGGTTTTCTTTATAAGATCTTGCATGAAGATTTCATTGTTGACCAAACCACACACTGGAAATTGAATAGACGACGACATTTCGATCCGTCCTGGACCATTATAAAGTCGATTGTGATGAGATGAGGGAAGCAAGAGCATTAAGTAGGCAAGAGAGAGAGGTGCGGAGATGGCACGTATGTACGTATGTACATGAATAAAACATGTACATACTTATACATAACGTGTGTAAATAGTGTAATAAACACAATAACAGTATTTTGGGAGGAGGAATGTTGGCGAGTAATGTGTTGGAGGAGGGAGGGAGGACTGGCAGGGTGTGGCAGCTCACTCATGTTTTTTGGGCTCACCATACCAACATAGTGGATCGTTATGGTGAATACATACGTAGATGGGTATATACAATGTGTGTATATAGTGTAATAACAGCAAAAACACTGTTTGATTGTAGAATATGTCGCATATATGAGGCCCATAATTTTGAGCATAGCAATGTTCTATACTTTGAATTATATAAATTCCACAAATTACACACTTTTAAATAATATTACAGCAAAAAAAAGAAGAAATGAATGAGAAACTTCAAAATAATTGCGCAACATTTTATTCGCAGCAACTGCCGTCGCACGGGGTGACAGGGCCGACAGACCCCCATCACTCCAACGCTCAGCGCCCATAATTTGCTCAACTTCCCAGCTCCATTGCAGCTAAAGTAAGTCACATACAATATTTTTTGTTTAGTTTCCCCGTGATCAGACTCTGCATTTTAACAATATAAGAAGAGAAAAAAAATTTTTGGAAAGAATTTATTTCTTGTGCACCAGGGTGTTATTTGGAGACAGAGCAGTTCAGTGGTTAAGTACTAAATTTTTTTTTCTCCCACACACGCACCCCCCTAGGAAGCAGCCTGTAACAGCTAACTCCCAGATACCTATTTACTGTTAGGTAACAGGGGTCATCCCCTTTTGTACAAAGAATCTGCTAAAGCTTTTAGGGCTAATCTTTGACACTCGTTTGTCTTTGTCGCCCCATATTTTTTACGTCCGAGTTGAATGCTCTAAGGCCCTTAACTAACTTTAGGTCATGTCCCATACTTCTTGGGGAGCTAATCGACACTGCTCCTCTCTTTACATTCCTCTCTCGTTCTGTCTAAACTCGATTATGGCCCTGTTTACTCGTCTGCTTCTCCTTCTACCCTTCACCATCTGGACACACTGCATCATACTGGGTTACGGCTCAGCTCTGGTACCTTTCCTTCGACACCTACCCTAAGCCTGTATGTTGAAACTGGCGTCCTGTTTCTACAGGATCGCCACGATCGCTACTGTCTTCTCCACCTTGCACGGTCCTTACAGCACCCTCACTCTTGCTTATGTCATGCCTTGACCTTTACCCATCCTGTGGTTCCTGTTCCCCTTCACCACCTATCTCTTTCTGTACGGTTGTCTCTCTTACAAAATGCTCTT